TGATATATTAAAAAGCCTTTTGCAAAACTTATGACAGCAAGCCTGACCATACTACTGGACCGAATTACACGCGGGTTATACCAAAAGAAAGAGTATTGGTCCTATATGTGCAGGGTTTATTTGAATTTTTATCATGTTTATGTTAGTTGGTTCAAATTGGAAATTAAACTTTTCTTATGGAGATTTAACATGGAGCTAATTTGATATATTAATAGACAAGCATGCTTATTGAAACCTCGCAGGGAAAATCTACGCATACTGTTAGAAAGTTATTTGCCTGTAGATTTGCAGAATCCCTTTATCAATTGAAATAGGCTCAATAATAGGCACAAAAAATGAATTAAAAATACAAAAATTAACTTGGGCATTATGGGCTGCCATATTGGTGACGAAATAACAACAAAATATACATAGAAAATCAAAACGAATGGAAGAAAATCTAATAACATGTTGTTTTACAGCGTGGGGTGAAAATAGAGAAGTTTGCACAGTACATATTTTTGTTCTAGTTTTCAACCACGGGGTTAGCTTTAGTACTGTATTTAAATCTATTATGAATATCAAATAGTTACAGTCAAATAGGTAATGGTTTTATACCTTCTGTGTTCTTTATATTCTCACCGAGAAATTTTGAAAATTGTTTTATTTCGTTTGATGGTTACTGAGAAGATTGTACATTATAAAATTGGTTGTCTTAGTTAAAATAGTTTTGTACACTTTTTAAGCCTGTGATAAAAAAGTTACTATTGTTGGTATGATATTAGTTTGAGCTAATGGATTATGAGGGAGAAGTTCCCATTGTGATTTTCGAAATAATTTTTATACAAACCATCTTATTATTTATTTTATCATATTTAATGTCACGTATATACCAAAAGACAACATTTTCCGGCATGGTACGGAAAATATAACAATATTATCCGCCAATTAGTTTAGTCTGAGAAAGTAAATACTATTTTGTCGTCTTTCACATAATAAGCAAATGAATTCACAATAAAACCATCATTATAACTAGTAAACTTCACGAAGTTCTGAGGATAGAATTTGGAATTAGTATTGTTTGTGTTATTACAAGTTTTGAGAACTGAAACTAGTTTTAAAGTTGTCTGCAAATACAATAATCGAACTCAAAAGATACTCTCTACAACTTTTAAGCAGATGCAAATTTTTAAGTTTTTTTAATTGAGAATTATAGAAATCAATATTGTACCCACAAAGTGTTTTAAAAAGGGATTCTACCATGCAATGCTTTATAAACCCTTTAATTTAATTTACCATTAGTCAATTTTGCTATTAACGTAGTCATCAAGGTAATTCGTTGGTATGGGACAGCACAAGTATCAAAAACATCTAAACAAATATTAGTCTAGACCAATAAACTATGAAAAGGTGGAATGTCAGGATTTGGCTGCGACTGGGCTTTAGTTTAACGCCTAAGGGAAAGCGCATAATTTGTGAGTTGAGGCACAAAATGCGACCTGTCGGCAACTCCCTTGCACCGGGTGAGATTTTATGGCTGTAACAATTTAGTGCTTTGAAAAATGCATTAGAAACGTTTGATAACAATGTTACCACTTTAGAATGAATCTGTCACATTACTTAAAACTAAATAATTACTGTTGATGTAGAATAATGCATTTTTGTTTCAATCATTTAATTACAAAATCTTATAGTGTCTATTTGGTTACAAAAAATTTTTCTTAATTAAATACTGAAACGTTTAAGTCAAAACTCTGGTGAAGTTATCACGTACGTTTTCAAATGTTTACGTGTAATTTAAGCTATTTTTTAGGGTCTTATGAAAACCATTGCTAACTACAGAAACAATATGTTTTGTTAATTATGCACTTTATTGAAATTTTAACTAGAGACCCCACTGTGGTATTTTCTTTAGTTTTTAGTTTTTATTCTAAGTTAACATATTTTGAGTGAACTGCTTCCCCGCATAAATCTTCGGCCTGGATTGGACCTTGCAGATGACGTTAATAAACCAAAGTTGCCAGTCCAGGTTTTCTATCTATAGGGTTATGTGTAGGACAAAGTGTTTGCAATGATTGTCTCTTCCAACAAATTCGTAATGTTAACGCTGCAGCATTGAAAGAGAGAAATGATGACCTAACTCTACGAAGAGTTTGGTCAGAACTAAAATATTCGATATTCTTATTGTATTGAAAACCGAGAGAACATATTGGAAAAACTTCATAAGAAATTATTTCTGGAGATAAAAGTATAATATAATAATAGTAATATTAGTATAAATACCTGACGTACATAGCTGTTTAGTTATTTTGGACTCACCCTGTATTGTCCCACCCTTGTATTGTCCCACAGATCAGTTATTTTAATTCCTTATAGAAAAATACAGAAGATAGCTAATAAGCATACAACTTTACATTGACCGTAAAAGTCAAAAGAACAGAAGATGGAACTGTTGTTCAGCCAAATTTAAAAATGTTGTTACGGTTATACGAAGAAGGTTATATTGTAATAGTTTACTGTATTGGTGTAATCATGACAATTTTGCTACAACGCAAAAAAATATTTTTGAAAGTGACTGTAATGTTTTGGTGATAAGAAAATCCCAGCAGGTAAGGGAGAGTTGACGACAGGTCACATTTGGCGTTCCCTTACAAATTATGCACTTTAACTGCCCTTAAACTAGAATCTCCTCCCGCTAAACCAGTTTAGAGGAGGTAACTTTTTAATGCCCTCCAGGGGTGGTAGTTTATTTTAAACTGATACAAATCCAAGCAAATATAAGTAGAAAAGTATTTGAAGAGAAAGATATACTGTCGTTAATTGTTTTTGGAGAACATGTAAAATTAACTTGAGTATTTTTATTATATTGATCTCAGTTGATATCCAAATGTAAGACTTAAATAAAAAAGAAGCTACACTAGTTATTATAAGAGTTTGGAGATGTTATGTTATTACATACATAAAAACTGAAACTAGTTGTATCTTAATAAAATATATTATTTAAATTTAGTCACCAAATAGTATAAAATTAAAGGAAATAGCTCGAACAATATTATACTGTGGGTTTACAAGCTATTTTAATTGTTACATATTTTCTTTACAGAGTTTCCAGAGATTTTAATTCAAAGTCGAATAAGCATAGAAACCACAAAACAATGTGTATTCTAAAATACATAGATGTAAAATTCTGTGCACATTATCTTGAATTTAAAATAACGGAAGTAAATAAACAACTATAGAAAAGGCAAATTCTTGAAAATCATCAACAAAATTCAAATTTTTTTTAACCTTTGCAGTTTAAATTGATATTTTCCGGCAAAGAAAAGAATGTTTTCCTTCAAAGGCAACACGACTTAATTTAAAATTTGAACTGTAACGAGATTTCCTAGTCCTTTATTAGTTTAAAGCCCTAATAATATTCCTGTCACAGAAAATGTCACGACTGGACGAAATGAGTTGTTTTTCTCTTAAAGTTAATAGAGTTTTAAAAGTTGTTATGTTGGCAATTAGATGTCAAAATGTTACTTCAGAAATGTAAAACTTAAGTAAAATATAAATTCATAATCACTGGGACAAAGGCCATAAATCTTTGGTTAAAGATGAGAACTAATGTTTCTGCACATACGAAAGGGTTAATATATTAATTGTTATGTCAAATTTAGTGGACTATGTTCTTGGTCACACTGATGATGAGCTTATCCGAAGATTCCAACATAGATGAACTAATTTGATTCATCTATGATTCCAACCGCATTTGTTTTATAGGATGTGACACACAACCAAAAATGTGCTCCACGGTTACAAATACGACATTACAGAAAGAAGTATTCCCTTGCTTTAAAATGTTTTTCTCAAAAAAATTAGTCTAGAAATAAGAAGCTATAACAATATGATAGGTGATCACCTAAGTGACGGATGTTTATAGAACGGAACTATAACTAACGGACGTGATATATATTTTGGCATCCATCCGTGGTTTAAGAATGTAAATTATGTTTAAGTAGTTATTACCTAATTTGTGTTACCCCTTTTAGTACTAGATGCACTCAGTGATCAGTCTACAGTTATTGATGAAATCTTTTTACCACAGACGGAGGTAAGATATCCGTAGTAAACTACATAAGCAAATTCCACTATAATTCAACACATTTTAACAATAGTACAAAATCATAGTTGGTACATAGAACCATAGACAACAATAATTAAATATAGACCGTCAGTCGTGCTGCGATTAGCATAGGTTCTGGCAGCCACCGCTGAAAGGGTCGTGTTAGCACGTACGCCACAACTACAATGCGCTCCCAGTGGTGGACGCCAGAACCTATGCTAATCGCAGCACGGCTGACGGTCTATATTTAATTATTTTGGTCTATGATAGAACTCTCTCTACACTATCTGCTTTATCGGGATAAAAGTTGGAGAATTCAACTGTTGATAAATATGAGATCGTTATGCTGTTTATAGCTTTTTCCTACAGTTACCTAACAATGTACATGTTCTCTCACCGATTCGAGAAAGCAAAGTGGCCAATTCACTCATCAGTGAGACAATGTTAACAGAAGTGAACTTTTAATACGACATTTAATGATACAACAGTACAACAGCTGACCAGCTGATTTACAGCCAGTGCTGCCAACGTATTTCGCGCGCATACGACGTTGCCTGCATGTTACGCGCTCACTATTTTGTGCCTTCACGTTGCATATCTGGAGTGAGACAAAGTAATTAGAGTGAGACAATGTTAACATTGTCTCAATGATGAGCGAATTGGCCACTTTGCTTTCTCAAATCAGTGAGAGAACATGTACATTGTTAGGTAACTGTAGGAAAATAACTATTTTTGGAAATAGTTGAATGCGCTAAGAATCAGTTTACATTAATTTCCATTAATGCTTATCAATATGTACCAACATTGTATTAATAATATACCTGTACAATATTTGGACTATATTAATTTAGTAGTAGGAGATAATCGGTTCAGTAACGTGATGGTAAAATTTAGTCGTATATTTATCACATACCTGTACAATATCTGGGCTCGTCTGACATGTCACCACAGTCGTCAATGGTGTTACAGTAGTTGTCTAGTCGAACACACTTGCCGTTGCGACAGCGGAACTCCGATATCTGACAGCCGAGACAGAAGCTGGCTATAGTCATGATGAGCCACCAACCCCTCCACATCCTGAGGACAAAGATTACACAATGTTACAGTAGTTGTCTAGTCGAACACACTTGCCATTGCGACAGCGGAACTCCGATATCTGACAGCCGAGACAGAAGCTGGCTATAGTCATGATGAGCCACCAACCCCTCCACATCCTGAGGACAAATATAACACAATGTTACAGTAGTTCTAGTCGAACACACTTTCCGTTGCGACAGCGGAACTCCGATATCTGGCAGCCGAGACAGAAGCTGGCTATAGTCATGATGAGCCACCAACCCCTCCACATCCTGAGGACAAAGATTACACAATGTTACAGTAGTTGTCTAGTCGAACACACTTGCCATTGCGACAGCGGAACTCCGATATCTGACAGCCGAGACAGAAGCTGGCTATAGTCATGATGAGCCACCAACCCCTCCACATCCTGAGGACAAAGACACAATGTTACAGTAGTTGTCTAGTCGAACACACTTGCCGTTGCGACAGCGGAACTCCGATATCTGACAGCCGAGACAGAAGCTGGCTATAGTCATGATGAGCCACCAACCCCTCCACATCCTGAGGACAAAGATAACACAATGTTACGGTAGTTGTCTAGTCGAACACACTTGCCGTTGCGACAGCGGAACTCCGATATCTGACAGCCGAGACAGAAGCTGGCTATAGTCATGATGAGCCACCAACCCCTCCACATCCTGAGGACAAAGATTACACCGTCATCAAAAACTTTCAGACCTTTCTCAGGATCGAGCTGGAAAACCTTTAGATTGTCAGGCAAGCTTTATGACCTATAGTCTACACAGGTATCCTGGGGAACAAAAATGATGCTAACACAATTTTGGCTATACTACTAGATAAGCCTAACGGCTCATAATTTTGTAAAAGATAAAAACGAATGGTGCTCTTGTATGCAGTAGAGTTTAGCACTGAAAACACCAGAGTCTTATCGTACTGCATTTTTGCAGTCTTTAATAGAATTAAACGGACTCTGCACAGTAATTAATTACCTTTCCGTATAAATTTAACAAGAGTTATATGGTTGTAAAATATGATATCACAGTCTAGAAATACACCCACGGTTCTGAAAATGTTACTAATCTTAATCTTTTATTGTAAACATGCACGTAAGTGCACACACTTTTTAACAGAACTAGAAAACTGAATCAATAACAATTGAGAAGGAGATAAAATTTATCTTTCTTACGCTAAGTTCCTACACGTCTCTGACTACAGGTAAGTCCATTTCACCTAACTCTGAAAATAATCAACTTTAGGCTGTGGTTACTAAAACACTCATTAATTATTTCAAAACATATCTTTAAATCCACAAACGCAGATTGGGTAGCGTAAAAATAGAACAAACAAGCAAAAATAGAAGAAAAATTGATTTTTTCAACATATTACAACAATGTTAATTGGTATGGATTGTTAAATGTTATGGAATGATTTAAACAATTTCCAGTAAAATTTTAGATATCATGTAAAAAATAATGTAAAAACTGCCATTGTACCCACAGAGACTTTTTAATACACAGGCTTCACAATGATATCCTATTATTGTCACTCACAGAGCAATCAAACACGTACAAGTTAAACGAGAAGTTGATCAAATATCTAATATCAAACACTACTAAGTATTTGCTCTACCAGGGCTATTAGAGATTAATAAGAAATTTAATAAGAAAGAAAAGAAAGTATTAATACTCAAACTAAACAGTTTTATTAACAAAAGAGTGCACTAGTTTGTGAGGCCAGTCGTATGAAATAAAATGACTTTGAAAGTAATTCACCTGTCACTCGAACGCCAATCAGAGGACTTTGGTAATTTGGTTACATTTGGTAAATTGAGTTTGGAATTCACATGGGCTCTGTTTGGATTTGTCGTTAAGCCTAGCCTCAGCTACATTGTCTTTGCGGGAGTGCTTTGGTAGCAGCATGAGCACGAATATGAAGTTTGTGTTCTATAATACCAACTTAGTTAAGAATTAGGTTTTTCGTTATACATTATAAACATAATACAATCGACAGGCAAATATAGATAAAAAAATCTAAAGTTTGAACATGCAATGAAAATAAAATAAATAATAAGAATGTTAATTTTTGTGAGGTTAGCACTGACCCCTCTAGAAAGCTAATTTTCTTCTAAAATCGCTTATAGCCAAATATTATTTTGTAATTTTACATAATAGTATTGAAATATGAAACCACAAGAGGAAGCATTTTTATGGCGTTAAACAGTTTTTATATAAAAAGCAATATTTTTTACTAATTATTTTTATACAACGTATGTAATATTAAAGTATTGTCTCTTTTCATATCCATACCCTAACCTAATTGGACCTTTAGGCTACCTAATTTTTTAGAACATAAAGTCGACCAGCAACAAAAACAACAGTAGTTGTGATTACCAAAAAGTGAAAGCATCGAGTTTCTTGTGTATTTCCTTTAAAGTAATAATTTAAATAAGCTTCAATTAGTTGCTTCCGAGTCCAAAAGTTCAAGTACAGGTCAATGAATAAACAAAGAATTCAGCCAATGCATGCCCCGCGAGAGACATCAAGGTTTAATGAGGAGATTAGAGTTTGTTTCATCCCAATGTACCAAAAATGGCTTTCACAGCCTCTTTTTCACAACAATCTTATTTAAATAGAAGTGGAATAAATTTTTACACCATATATTTTTTATGTTTGATTCAATTAATACAAAAAATTTAATAATAATATAAAATTGTATTACACAGTTCGCGATTGGAAAAAAGTGAACACTTATAAACTAGGCCCCCTTTATTTCCACCTTTCTGATAAATATTCAATGGAACTTTACGTTAGTCATTTAACGGTTCGGAGGAAGGGATGGCAAGAGTGATAGCGACAATCTAGTGATTCATTTACACTAATTACACACCTGACAACATTAAATCTCTCATAAACACATGGAACCCATCATGACGTTACTGTGTACTTGTACAGTAAAAGCTATAGTAGTTTAAATTGTCAATATAATAAAAAGTGTGCATACGATCGAATTTAAAATGCTGTTTCACTAAAATGATTCAATCGCCCTTTGCAGTTTAAATTAATATTTAAAATGTTATTAATTGTGGTTGAGTAACTTTAATATAGCATTTATCACACATACATATTATTGCTCTTGGTGTTATTTATTACTAAAGATGGCATTTCATTACTAGTTTGGCAAATAAGTGCTTTTATATGAATTTAAAAAGTAAGGGAACACTTTTAGATTTAATATACACTTTTACATTAAAAATTTCCAAGAGAAGTATATTGACAAGTTTAAGTATGAACTTGAATATAAACGTGCATAACATCCAAAAATAATTACATATTTATCCTTAAATTGCCATAAAATATCCTTATGTATATATACACGTCACTATATTAAAGTTTGAATTAGTAGCGTAGGTTGTAAGTGCGTTAATGTTGAACTAACATACGAACACACATTTAATGCTAGGCAAGTTGAGGCATATGTACAACCATAATCCGTTTACATGGAAATACAAGTATCATGATTTGAAGTCTATATTCTCATATGCAGTATGCGAGACACTGCACACTGCATAAAACTGTGTTTAGTTTTTCCATTAATGATTTGAACTATATTTGCTGTGAAAAATTATTATAACACCAATTTAATAGTCATTTGATATTTTTTTTTACTTAAAACCTAAACAAACTGTTGGAACACATTGCATTTTCATGCTTTGCATTTGCTTTCACCTCACTGCACTGAATTGTTTTGCACATAAAAAATATTTCATTTCATTACATTGAGTCAATACTCGCCGTATAAATGTACTCCTGATATGATGTTTTGTAAACCTACGACCGTCATATAAACTAGCCTTTTCAATTCAGTTCTTAGAAATTGAAAAGAATCACTTGACAACGTTGTTTCGTTACCTAGAGGGTTTGGCCCAATGAGATTCGAGGATTGAGAGAAAAAAAGCAAAATTTTTATGCCTCGAACGTTAACTTATAAGCTGTTAAGGCCAATTTAATTGATTATACAATTAGTGAGCAGTTGGGAGAATTAGTCGTTGCATCATAATCAGTGGCAATGGGAGACCTTAAACGAAAACTTAACTTTACCTTGATGTGTAAGCCTAGTGATTGTTAGTAATTAAAAAATATCGTAGGTATTTAGGCAATGTAGTGTACACAACTCACGAAATTAGCCTTTAAGACACTAATATATGTTTTAAAAGCACTCGCCAATCTAACAATAAACTGGTTTTGAAATTCTGCCCTCCCATATTGGCAACTACTGTACGACAATACGAGGTGGCTTAACTGGTCATGTATAATGTGATCGCCAATCAGGGGAGCTTATGTAATTTATTGAACCGATACAAATTGAGTTTCAACTCGCCAGCGCTGGTAGCAAGCGAGTTATTATACGACAATTGTTCACAATGTTCCCTTTGTGGGTCATAAAAAAATCAAAATTGTAGTGACCTGGTTCTAAAAAGGGATTCTAATAAATAAATAAGATTTAATGCAAAATTTTGAACATTTTGTTCTGTCATTACTATTAGATAGAAATTGTTTATTATGTTGGTTTATTTTTCTAATTATGTGAAATTAGCTCTAGTTTTAGTTTGAATTTGTCGTTTTTTAATTTTATATAATTCATGTACGGAAAGTAAATAAAATAAATGTCTTATAACACTTAAAACATATATTTACCCTTATACTGTTACTCACAAGACGGTAAATATACAAAAAATAGGTGGTAAGTGGTGATCGATTTCGATTGGACACTCCAATCATCATCAGACCCAATAGGCGAAGTAGGCTATAGATTTCGCCTATTGGGTCTGATGATGATTGGAGTGTCCAATCGAAATCGATCACCACTTACCACCTATTTTTTGTACATTTACCGTCTTGTGAGTAACAGTATAAGCGTAAATATATGTTTTAAGTGTTATAAGACGTTTCTTTTATTTACTTTCCGTAAATTTAATAACACGTA